CACTTTAATTAGACCAGTAAAATCTCAGAAATAGGCTAGATTTCAAAACCTGAGGGACTCTGCCCAATTAGGCATTGCAACGCTGGGGGTGGGGGAGGAAGTACCCAAAATCATCTTAGACAGATGCTGCGGCCAGGTTGTCTTGTTTAAAGTAAGATATGAATGTGCTTCAGTTTTCCCCTGTGGTTTGAGTTGCTTTCAAGCGGTGCCAATTTTGAGAGAATTAATGGACATCAGTTACATTCATTAGTGTTGTCAGCAATTTTCTTTGTTTCCCTTAGCATGGAAGGCTCCATTGTACGCTTGCCAGAGATAGTTGCGTTGAAGAGAAAATACAAAGCCTACCTCTACTTGGATGAAGCCCACAGCATAGGTGCTGTTGGCCCAACGGGCCGGGGAGTTGTGGAATACTTTGGAATGGACCCCAGTGACATTGATGTATTGATGGGCACATTCACCAAAAGCTTTGGAGCAGTCGGAGGATACATTGCTGGGAGAAAGGTAATTGTAGCACTTATTCGCTTTTGCAGATGTGGAGGAACTCTGATTATTGATATCTTAAATTAAACAACACCTTAGTTTAGTAAAGAAACCATAAGATAGCTCTCTTCTATTCTGGGTTCTTTTTTCACCCTTGGATGATAGTTTGTCATAAATCTGAAGAGTTTCATGTAGTTCAGCGTGAATAGTGTACTATGTAGCACTGAATATATTGTTTACATGTTGTGCCTTTCAGATCTCTCTCTGCTATCTAGGAAGTTTTATGCTTTTCACACATTACTGATAAATATGGATACAACAGTTAAGGAGATGTTGTTCCAGATCAGCCGTGATACCAGTGATTTTGTCATAGGTTTCCCCGATAGCAGTACTCAGACAGCTAGGTCAACTTTGCATGCCGCTGGTTCACATGCGGTTCACACATGGCGTGGCCTTTCTGATAATATCCTTGACTGTGATGATGTAAGGGAAGGTCACAAAAGTGATCGCATGCTCATAACCCAGTTTTTAAATGCTTCGAGTTTTTCATTGTTTTAATCTTGTGAAAGCTTTAATGATAGCTGTTTGCTAGGAGCATATATTGTGCCCTCAAAAGTCCTATGTTTGCAAAGAAAAATGCTGTCTGATTTTAGAGTCATGTTAAAATCATGTGCAACTGCATGTAGCTTGTTTGTAGGGTGGATCATGCCAAAGCCATTGTGCCATCAATGAAAACCTTGTTTAAACGAGACAGTATTCTCAGCATTATGACCCTTCAGTTCATGTATTGCTCATAAAAAAATTAAGTCTAACTGGGAGCATCATTTGTGTTTGCACAAATTGTCAAAGAAGAGACTACATATCTTACATTTGAAGCCTCTTGAGTTTGCATCCATGCATACTTTGCATCACACTACAATCAGGATTTGGCATTATATTCATGAGCTTTTACGTGTGGAACACAGCTAGAGCTGACCTGTACTCTTGATGATAAAAGTCCAGTTTTGCCAGTATTATATATTTCTTGAAAGAACTGAGAATTTCATGACATTCCACTTCCCCACATGGTCAACTTACTAACAACCAGAAACACATCATTTCATCTCTGTTTCACCACTCACCAAAATGACAGCATTAGAACTTTTTTTGGCCTCAATATGCTACATTGACTTGGACAATAGTAGCAAAAAATAAAAATAAAAAACAATGGCACATAGCAAGTGGTTGAAACTCAGAGATACAATTTATAGCTTTTCAGATCTAATTCTATGTAAATTCTGCAACAGAGTGTGACTCTGACAAGTTACATCAAGTGGACAAGAGTTAAATAAGGGATCAATACTACTCTAGGCCCTATTAATCACTATTGAGAACATTTGAAAACTTGAAATTTGAAATGATACCTTCAGTTTTTACATAGATAATGAACTACATGCTATATTTGTACAGTAATTAAAAGATGTAGATTACTCTGGTTTTGTTGATTATACGTATTTAAATTTATAGCTGTTGTAGATCTTGGTACTCCATGGTGAATAACTATTTTTTGAATAAGAAAGTCCATGCTCCTTTAAAAGGCTCACAGTAGAATAGAAACTGAGTGGATGGGATGTTCGTTGTATGTCCAGTGATAGATGAAAAGTTCACCCATATAAGGGCAATTTAGTTCTTCTCTGTGTGCCGTGGCTGAAATCATCACCATCCTTCACCATACTTCATTGCCTTTCTGTTCTCACCTTTCTTCACAGAACAGTTTGGAGGCACAATTGTTGTTTTCATGCAGTAATTTTTCTCTGCAGGGACCTTTTTAGCAATTGCTATTGGATTGTTGCCCCAAAAATCTCTGACCTATCAAAAGCAAGGTTTCACTGTACATTGTGAATAAAGTAATTCATTCACTTCAGTCCCATGAGAGCATACACCAAATCAAACTTGATACCCCCTAAGCCACAAAATTTGTTTGTTGCTATGTAGCAGCAAACTGACAAGGCAACACCCTAGAAATTTTAAACAATTTATAATTTTGTACACAGCAAGTATTGAGTTGAATTGGTGAAATCTGTTAACTTGCAAATTTCTCTTCCAGTAGAAAGAATGGGAGTTCAATATCTGAACTAAAATATTGTTCTCTTTGATTTAAGGAACTAGTGGACTATTTACGAGTTCACTCCCATAGCTCCACGTACGCCACATCTATGTGTCCTCCTGTAGCAGAACAAATAATAAGAGCAATGAAATCCCTAATGGGACTAGATGGAGCCAAACAAGGTAGGATATAATGAACTGAAGATGGAATGGGAGGTGATATGACAACAGCTTTTGAAAATTCTACAGTAATCATTGTATAAAGCATATCATCTTAAGAGATTTGGTTTTGTGAATGAAGCTGATCATTGTGGCCCACTTATGAGCAAAATACATCTCCTCCTGCTCTTTAGGTGAGCATACCCCTCCTCTTGCCCTGGCATGTGTGCCACCAGCAGCTTAACTGAGTGTGGGCAGGTGATGCAGGGCCCATTGAGTGCTGCAGGTGCCATTGAGCTGGTGGGCCTGAGATGGTGGATGTCTCTCTTCCTCAGCCCCTAGCCACCTCCTGGCTGGCTCTTGCCAAGGGGCATTGTCGTGTTCCCAAGTCAACTGCCCAGAAGTGCAGAGGATGATGTGCTCTATGTCCTCTGCTGCAGACCACCATGTCTCTTCTTCCTTGGCTGAACTCTTACCAGTTGTCTCGGGCTCTAAAGGAGGACCCCGAGCCTTGGTCCCACTCTCTTATCACCCTTTAGACTTCCTGACCATCTGGCTCTCTGGAGAAGCCTGGACTTCTCTGTTCCCAGCCTTCCTGAGAGTCTTACGTGTCTGCTCCACCCTGGTTCTCAGGGGTGTGTGGGGCAAGGACTGAGGACTCTCAAGGGGTGCTGGTACTGACCTCCTCATATGTCTGTTCATTTTTTTTCTTTTCTTCTTTTTTCTTCCTTCTTAATTTCTTTTCACCTCATGTCTCTTACTTCATAGAAGAATTTTACAGAGTTCATAATGTCTCATGTTCTATATCAGTGTTGCCAAATTCCAGATTCTAGGATATTCTTTGCACTGTTTGTGGACTTTTTAAATTGTCATTGAGTTTTATATTAAGGCTGAAAACATGCATGTGCTCAGAAGTAAAGCACATAGGTTTATTGTGCTGGCACATGCTTTGCTCAAACCACTATGCTACCCCCTCCAATTCTATTGACACCGTTGAAATACAGTACTTTGGACAGTTATACGTTACTTTATAGTGAAGCTCACAAGAATATGCAAAAGTCTGTAGTCAGAAATGCTAAATGATGAAAATTTTGAAATAGTGATTTTAATCCCCTTAATGTGAAAATGAAAACATATTTTAGTATATTTCTTATCTTGGATAACAAAGGACAGCTTGAATATTTTGATATATTTGATGCTACATGTTTAGCTGTTTGTCGCAATCTTCAAATTTACCAGAAAGTAGGATTTTCACTGTCCATTGCAGCAATTAGTAGAACCTCTTATAAGCAAGAAAGGAGGTACCCAGATAGTTCATAACAGTTCCCAGCAGCCAGTAGAAACTAGTATAATGTGAAGCAGGTATAAATGTGCTGTATAAAAGAATATGGACCACGAGGTTAGCCCAGAAGAGTTATGTTTACAGATGCACTGTTGTACTCCAGTGCAGTATTGCTGGAGTATGTAGAACTATTAATAAACTTTCTAAAGTGGACCCAAAGAATATATGCTTAATCCAAATATAAACATAACTTGTAACAGATCCGGTAAATTAAATTTATGGAACATACTCGCCAATGGGGGGCAATATTGTACTGTACTTTTCAAGACTATAGTAGACTTTGTCAGCATCTTAAAACTTTATTAATCCATCGAAACTTGGGCAGACTAGCTGTATGTATGTATGTGCACACATAGCAGAGAAGGAGAACATGTGTGCAGTTATTGCTCAATCTCATACCAATCCTAAAAATTTAAGGAGCATAACAGACTAGCTACACTGACTGTAGTCCACACTGTTCCATGAATGATAGCACATAAGTTCTATGTCCACAATCAATTGATTGTCAAAAATTTGAGATACTGTGGAATCCTGTTTAGACTTGCTTATTAAAGGCACCTTGAATTGATGGTTGTAAACTGCCATATCAATTACTGTACTTATGCAGTGTAATTCAATTAATCATGCACTGTCAAGTTGATTCTGGCTTATGATTACCCTTTCCAAGGTTTCCTAAGTACAGAGTACTCAGGAGAGATTTACCATTCCTTCCTTCTAAGGGCACACCAGTTCCAAACGGTATACAAAACCAGTTTGCACAAGGCGACACAGGCTGGCTCTTTTTCTGTGAGGCACAGGGGGAATCAAACTTGTGCCCCTAGTTTAGGTGGTGTTATGTACTGAGCTACTGTGTAGCATAGTGAGAAAACCTAGCTGTTAGTGAGCAGGTAGACCTACATCTGAGTTCTACACCATCAGATTGCAGATCAAGGATAACATAGGAAGATACTCTCTCATGGAGAAGGGAGGAATTATCATAGACAGGTAGTTCTTTAAAATATGTTGAGGAAAAGCCTAGCTTAGAGCATTATCCAGTTCCTTTCAAGGTTGGTTAGAACCAAAATTCTTCTGTAAAGAAAAGAGAGATCATTTGGATTTTTCAGAACCCATAATACTATAAGTTCACATGAGCAGTAATGTAGAAAGTGTGGTTTTCTCACTTAGTGTGCCTACTCTTGAACCTGCAGTGTTTACAAATTGTTGGACTCCAGTTCCCATCAGCCTTGAAACCCTGGTCAAAAGTGAGGGGTGACAGCACTAGTAGTTCGTCAATATCTGGATACCCTGCACTTAAGTTTAGGGTCTAAATTAGAGATACAAATACCCCCGCACAGGTGGCAATAACAAGGGTCCACTCACAATTCCCCTGCTGCTGTGAGCTCCGGGATCCTTCCTATCACTCCGGAGCTTGTGATCTGTGAGCCACTCTTCGACCTAGCAGAGAGGCTTCTCATCCCACCTCCTCCCAGTACTGGCGAGCCGATCGCGACCTCCAGAGTGATAGGAAGGCTCCCGGAGCTCTCAGCAGCGGTGGAATTGTGAGTGGACCATCCGGCCTCATCAGGCTGTACCCTTGTTATCGCCACCTGTGCGGGGGTTTTCGTATTCGAATACAAATACCTACCCCCATCTCTAGTCTAAATTTTAAGTCGACCCTTGTTATCGCCACCTATGCGGGGGTATTCGTATTCGAATACAAATACCCCCATCTCTAGTCTAAATTTTAAGTCATGAATCCAGTTGGTAGTCCCAACTATCCTGTTTCCCCGAAAATAAGACCTAACCTTTTCAGGATGTTTGTAATATAAGCCCTGCCCCAAAAATAAGCCCAGTTAAGTGAAACCCCGCTCTCCACCATTGTGTAGAAACCAGAAAAGATGACATGACTGTATTTGAATAAATATAGATTGTTGTATATGAAAAAAATAAAACATCAACTGTAAATAAGCCCTACTGCATTTTTGGAGCAAAAATTAATATAAGTCCCTGTCTTATTTTCGGGGAAACATAGTAGTATAAGTTGATAGAATAAGTGGGTTTTACATACGTTTGACACCTGTGATGAAATTGAGAACTTGAGGTACATAAAATATGGAATACACCTCCTTTATTCTTCTGTGTGTCTGTGAGGGCCTGGGAAGTGGACCTCAAAGGCAGAAGTCAGTGTGGAAATGTACAACTCACACCTTCAACTTTTCCTGCTGTTGAACACTTCAAAGTAAGGACTGAGCAAGAAGAAGATGCTTCCATGCTTATCTTTATCAGGAAACATATCAGAGCCACTCTAAAGGGACTCCTAATGCCTTATCTGTAACCCTTGACTTGAAAGGAGTGAGATTGCTTCCTTCCCAGAGAGTTATGCAGATTTGATGAGGGGGCGGCAGCAGGTCAGGCCCTTGCCTTTTCGTCCTGCCAGAACATGAAAGGACTTAAAATGATGTTATCAATAGGTGTGTAATGGCCCATTTACTGGTATGTAAGGGATATGGGGAAATTAGTTAGTTAGCCTAGCATGTCTCTGAGGAAACCAAGGTTTTGCTCTCTGGCTGTTCAGTAATGCGCCAAAGGGACTCAGCCTGAATTGCAAGGAGAATCTGGGTCTGTTTCCTATGAAACTGTGTTGGGAGGATGCACTCTGTGCATGTCCCAGAAATATCCTCTATTCTGCTCAAGTATGAGTATAGATAAAGTAGATTAGGTTTTGTTATTTCGTGATGTGTTTTCTTCCTGAGTATTTGTAAGTCTCACTCCACATTTGCTCCAGTATCTTGAAAAACGTGCTTGTATTTGTTTAGAACGTTTACCCTTTTGGTTTTTTTTTTTTAGAATTGTTTTTCTTCCTTCCTTTGTAATAAACTACAAAAATCATTTAAAGCAGCTGGATTTTTGACTAAGATCAATGGTACTAAAACCGGTCGTTGCCTTAACCAGCTACTGGGACTTTTTGCAAGTGTTTGTATGTGGGAATGGTGACAACTGCCTTGCAAGGTTGGTGTGCTAGTGCCTAGCTTCGGACCACCTCTTAAGTTTGGGAGACTGGGGTGTTGGGAGGGATACTGTTCCACTCAGACTTCAAAATCTTCACTAGATCTGGCTCACACCTAAGTCATTTAGGGCTTTCCAGGTCAAAATCAGCACTTCGAATTGGACCGGCCAAACAATAGTTAACAAAGCTATCATAACAGTGAGTTTCAGTAAGCAGTCTAGCTGCAGCACATTGGACCTTCTGACATTTCTGAACACTTTCCACAGGCAATCCCACTTAGAGCATATTACATTGGTCCATGCAGGATGTGGCTAAGGTATGCATCTTCATATCCAGATCAGACACCTTCAAGAATGGGCACAGCTGGCACACAGATCTTAAAGGTGCAAATACACTCCCAATAACTGCCAAGACGTAGACTTTCAGTTCACCCTAAACCCAGGAATACACCAAAACACTAAACCCGAGCTTTTAGCGGGAGCGTAGCCCTATGTAGCAGGATTCTGATTTTGATGCCTTCCAAAGAAATGTCATGTGCATGTTCATGCTTTCCATAATTGAGAACTTATGACATTAAAAATTGCTCTGATTATGAGCAATAGGTGAAAACTGGTGCAGCTTGCTGTTTAAATGCTTCTGAATGGGAAAAAGGGCAAGATGTTGAACTGAGAAAGTAACTGGAACATGCAATTTGTG